AGCGCTGCTTCTTCCCAGCAGGTAACACTCCAGGAGCCTCTAGCAGGTAGCTCATTCAAAAGCAAACTAGGATAGCAGGTAGCTCATTCAAAAGCAAACTAGGAAGTAATGTATGACTCAGAAAACTTGACAAACAGTTTTCCCTATCCCTTGTTTTTTATTTTATTTTATTTTATTATTTTATTTCCTTTATACATTCAATCACTATATATCACTTAGCTTGTAAAGTGAATTCTCCCAGCATGAATACATTTCACACCAGTCTATTTGAGGATACTATACACATTATCATCACCAGACAATAACCCATGTTTTTTATTCACCTTCTTAATCCTTGAGGATCTGAGCTGATGACCTGGCAAAAGAAAAGGGAGGGAGGAAAGAAGTAGAGACTCATGCTTTATTGGTTAGCTATTGTGTGTGACAAAATTTCCCTTTTTCTTTCTTATTCTCTTTCCCAATAGCCCTACAGGATTAAGTCATATAGATAGTATGCCTAGATAAGGAAATTAGAGATGGGGGGGGAGACTTGCCAGAGGCCATACATTTGGGGCTGCATAAGTAATAGGACTCATATCTACCTTAGTTTGAAGGATTTTTTTTCCTGAAATAATGTGTAAAACTGTATGTGTGTGTGTGTGTGTGTGTGTGTGTGTGTGTGTATGTTTGTATTCATTTTTGGTGGGGATGGACATCCATATTTTCAGCTTAATTTCCAAGGGTCCTGTGACTCAAACATTGAGACCTGTGGCCCAAATTCCTTGACATAAAATCTTACCCTGTATTGTTTGAGGTAGGAGTAGGGGGAAATATGCCTATCTTTGAAGGGAAAACAATTATGGGAGATATGCCCAAAATACAAGGGTGTGTATAAGCTTTTTGTCCTTGTTCAGATTGCCATGTGATATTTGAGGAACTTCCTATACTTGAGAACGACTCTGGGAAGAGTCTTAGTGGAGCCTTGAACATTCCAGGTTAGCAGAGAATGAGGTCTACTGCTTTATGAAGTGACCTAGTGATCTCCAAAGCTTTACAGAGGCCCAAACTGCATATATGGCAATACTGGGAGGGCAAAGAGGGGTAGGGAGAGACAGGAGAGAGAGAGATAGAGAGAGAGAGAGGGCTTGATATTTGTCTTTAAGAGTTCTGTAATCTTGGTGGGGAGCTATGACATTTAAGGAAGTGGTGAGTGGGGAAGATGGGACTAGAGTGAAGTGGTTTGGTAAAAAGAGTCTCCAGGGTCAGTAAGCAAGTGGAGCAGCAGGTTCCTTACTGCATCTCCAGGGGAAATGGAATTGAAGATACCTGGGCCCTAAGGACCAGAAGCCTAGCTCTTACAGGCTTCTCATTTATCCATAGGCCTTGGAGATGGCAGAGCTGACAGCTCGGATCTCCCAGCTGGAGATGGCCCGACAGAAGAAGGAGAGTGAAGCTGTAGAATGGCAGCAGAAGGTAAGACACAGTGCCCAGAGCAGTGCTTTGGGAAGACACCACACTTATAGGTTCTAGCTCTTTAGATTCTTAGGTTTGGGCTCCCTTTACCTACCATCTTTTCTTGACAGCAGGCATCATGGGAGGAAGTGCTCAGGGCTTTACCACATATTGTCCAGAATTCCCCAGTAATCTCTGGGAAGTTGCTACAATTGCTCCTATTTTATAGCTTAGGAAGCTAAGGATCAGGCAGGTGAAACGACTTGTCTTACCTGGTGCCTGCCTCCTGCTATACCATTCTAGATATGCATAGGATACTACAAACTACCTGGTCTGAATGCCAGTCTTTTCTTCTGTCACTGGACAGGCCCAGATGGTACAAGAAGACTTGGAGAAGACCCGTGCTGAGCTGAAGACTGCCATGAGTACGCCTCATGTGACAGAACCTGCTGAGAATGAACAGGATGAGCAGGATGAGAATGGGGCAGAAGCCAGTGCAGACCTGAGGGCTGATGCTATGGCCAAGGACCGCAGTGAGGAGGAACGTACCACTGAGGCAGAGAAGAATGAACGTGTGCAGAAGCACCTGAAGGTATCCAGGCATGGTCACAGGGTCAAGAAGACCATGTGCATTGGCCTTCCCTATTGTCATGGGGAAATAGGTATAGGAGCTTGTCTCAGTGCTATATGGGAGCCTGAGCCTTTTTCACTTAAAAAGTTAAGGTAGGAATCTTTTACTTGTTAATCAGACTCTTGGCTACCTTATGCCTTTCTAGGATTTGCTTTCTGCCCTACTTCATATCACCACTCCATTCACCTCTTACATTTAGAAAATATCTAGCTGAAAAAAAATCCCACATGGATCTTTGGTGCATTGTTCTACTCTCAAGGGATATTCCCATCACCAATAGGTGCCCTAAGTCTGTAGGGATTTTTATTTTGTACTGTTCTGTTTTGTTTAATTCCTGCCCCACTGTAGTCCTTAAGGGACTGGAAATAGCTCTCTCTCTCTCTCTTTCTCTGTGTGTGCATTTATATGCATAGAAATGTCAGGGGTAGGGGGAAGAGAGAGAAGGAAATGAAAGAGAAAAATTTGGTCAAATAAGAAGAGGTAAAATGAGAGGAAGCCATTGACCTCTGTATCCCCTTACACACTTACAGGCTCTCACTTCAGAGCTGGCCAATGCCCGTGATGAGTCCAAGAAGACTGCCAATGACATGATCCATGCTGAAAACATGCGACTGGGCCGAGATAAATACAAGACTCTCCGCCAGATCCGGCAGGGCAACACCAAGCAACGTATTGATGAGTTTGAGTCCATGTAATGGCCTCTAGGAACCCCTCCTCCCTTCTTCCTGCCCCCATATGCCTATACACTTGCCTAACTCACACTGTGCTGGACCCACTAACTAAAGCAGCCCTAGTGTCATGCCAAGCATTCAGTGCAGCCATGGGACCAAACCTAGCCCCTCAGTCCTGTTCACTTCCCTGGATAGGTAAATAGCCCACTATGGTGCCAGTGGGACCCTCTTAACACTGTTCTGTCCCATTTAATCTTGCTTACTCGAGTAGACCACATCCCCTGCTCAGAGGCATTTTCCACTTTATTTGGCAAACACCCCCACACTTAACTGTTGACTTAACAAGAGTTGAGTGTGGATTCAAGTGAAATTTAGTCCCCTTTCCCTCCCCCACCACTGCCTTCCTCTTCAGGGTCCTGTGATTTGCAGGGCTAGAATATCACAGGGCTTAGGGAAGGAGGCAGGGTCCTGGCTGTCTGCTCTGAGATGTCCACTGATCTAGGATTTGGCTACCCAGTGCCCATCTCTTTTAGAATTATTTAGGCTTTTAATGATTAGAGTAAAAAGAGATGTTTAGTCATTCTTGTTTCTACCTCCCAGATTGGGCTTGTTACAGACTCAGCACCTATAAGCCTTTTCCCTGAGTTCAGGGATTCAGTTTCTCCCCGTGGTGGAATGGGGGACATGGTGCCTTTAAGAGACTTCAATAACATCCTAGAAGGCCATTAGTCCTTCTATTTAGGTGGGACTAGGTGGAAGATCCCATTTCAGTGCCTTATGGGAGCCCAGCCTGACTTAAGTGATCTCTATTGACAGAGGTACCCCTTACTTACTGCTCTAGGTCCCTGGTCCTTTCTCAGAATCTTCCCTTCCTTCCTCCAATCCCCAGATTCCTACCAGCTACAACAGTAGGGACAAATAACCAAAAGCCCAACTAGTCCTAAGAGTTTTACCAAAAAGGGGGAAATGTTCACACCTGGTTTCAGTATTTTTCCTGCCAGAGGTTCTAAGTCACCTGCCCCATCAGAGCTCCTTAGGCTACAGCTTCTTTTTCACAGCTCTCCAGGCCTTGGTATAGGGATCCCTAGAGGCTCAATGGGGAGTGGGTGGAAGAAGTTGAATGTGGGGAGAGAAGTCCATGCCCTGCTACCATAGTTGACTTAATCCTCTTGGAGGCCCAATAGTCCCTCCTTATCATGCCCCTCTAAAGGTGATGACTGGGCCCTGCATCTGTTTGGCAAACCTATAACCCAGCTATGCTGTCCCTTAGAGCTATAAACCAGAGAGCTACTGAGGATTATGGCCCATTCCCCTCCATACCCTGCCTGTGCTCTTAACGCAGGAGTAATCTCCTCCTCTCTGTCTCATGTGTACTTTTTCTTTCTACCAGTATTATATATTCTAGTGATATCTAACTCAATATTGATTTCTGCCTGTTTTGCTAGTATACCATTAGAAATATTAGTCTTGGGGCAGGATCATTTGGCCTCATTTCTCTACCACTCCCACACCTGGGAAGCATATGCTATATTATAAAAGGATATTTTGCCAAAACGTTAATGTAAAAAGCTTTCAGTAGTACTGATGTCACCTGTCACTATAGGTCATACTATCCATTCTTAAAGTACTTGGTATCTGGTTTTATTGCTCCTGTTTGTGTTCTCCCCAGAGTTCAGTCCCCAAAGGGCTATGCTGTCTCTCCATGCAGTGCCCCCTCACCTCTTGCCTCTCTCAACACACCCTCACCCACCTGACCTTGGGGAGTCTTGTGTGCATTGCTGTGAATTAAATTGACACTCATTTGGTGTTAACATCCTATATTGGCTAAATTCAAACCTGAAATTGTGGAGTAATCTAGCTGCCTTACCCAACCCCTCCTGGAGACTGGGAAGAAAGGTTAGATGTTATATTCAGGTTTTTATTGTGTGTATTTTTGGAGTTTGCAAAAAAACTTGTTTTTGGAGGGGCTTATGCTCAACCCATGTTCTATTTCAGTGCCAATAAAATTTAGGAAGATTTCACTGTGATATGATTTTTCTTCATGGTGTGGTGGGTGACGATAAGATATTTCACTGTAATTTCCACTCTCTAAACCACACTCCTACCCTTGTTCTTATTAAGGTCACCCTTGAGGGAATCCAGCACTTTAACCACCATGCCACCCACTGGCCCAACACTGTACTGTTTTGAAAAGGGGAACACAGGTGGGTTATTTTTTCCAGGAAGATAAATGTGTGGCAGGCAATATAAGGGCCTTATAAAGATGTCTATGTTCAAATCCATGGAACCTATGAATATGTTACCTTACATGACAAAAGGGACTTTGGGTGTGATTAGGTTAAGAATTTTAATATAGGGAGGTCCAATATAATCACAAGGGTCCTTAAAGTTTGGATGAGGGTCAGAGTCAAATGTGAAGATCCTGTGCCACTGGCCTTGAAGATGGAGGAAGAGGCCATAACCCAAGGAATGTAGGTAGTTTCTACAAACTGGGAGTCAAGGAAATGAATTCTCCTTTGTAGCCTCCAGAAGAAGCATAGCCCTGCTGACACCTTAGTTTTAGCTTGCCCTTAGCTCATTTTGACTTCTGTATATCCAGAATTATAAGGTAATTGATTTGTGTGGTTTTAAGCCATAATAGCATTGTTCTCCATTTCTTGAAATTTTCTTTAAGCATTTCCATTTCAGCAGTAGGAATAAATGTACTATGGATATATACAATATAGATGAGCCTCACAGATATGTTCTGTAAAAAAAGGCAAACCCAAAATAAAAAGTACTACATAAATTATATGAATCTAGAGCAGACATGGTTGCTTGGAGCTGGGGTGGGAGGAATTGACTAGAAAGAGACAAAAGGAAACTTTCTGGAGTCATGAAAATATTCTTGGTCTGGGTGGTGGTTACAAGGTATAAATAGGCGAAAATCCATCAAGTTGTATGCAAGTTAAAATAATTTTTTCAAAAAGGGTCTTGCTACCTGCAAAAGTTTGAAAACATCTATTTGAATATCTCACATTTTATCATGTACCAGAATCACCTGATGGACTTCTTAAAACAGATTGCCGAACTCCACCTTGAGTTTCTGATTCAAAAGATGTGAATGGAACCTGAGAATCTGGTTCTTTCTAACAAGCTTTCAGGAGCTACTGAAGGTGCTTATCCAGAAGCCACACTAGGAGAGTCTCTCCACTGCTCTACAGTCTACAGTAGACCCATGCTAGTACTGATGGAGTCCCAGGGAGATAAGGGACTTGTCTAAGGTCAAACAAGCCAATGGGCAGATAGTGGGCCTAGAATTTGCTTCCTGATTCTTTTCCCTGGGCTTGTAAGGCCTCAGTCAGGCTTTTTCTAGTTTCCCAAGGCTGCCTCCACCTCCCACCCAGGAGCAGTTCTCATTTTCCTGCTTTCCTATGGCTCTTAATTATAATGTCTGGGCAGGAAGGTACCATAGAGACTCCTGGATTGAATCCCTTTTCCCCATTAAAAAATTGCTTATTTATTTTTATTGCCAGGTGGTATGTGTACTCATCAGAGAAAGAGAACTGAAAGCACCCCCCAATGGGGCATGGTTATGTTGCAATCTCATCTCCATTTATCCATCCTTTCAGGATTGGGGGCACACACACACACACACACACACACACACACACACGTACCTGGCAGGGATTCAGCTGTGTGGTTGGCTATGTGAAATCTGACTTCCTTAACAACTATTCCATGGGATGGCTCAAGTTTATTTATTTTTATTCATGATAGAGAACATCAACATGTGTGCACATGAGAGAGAGAGAAGAGACAGAAGCACTCTTGACAGATAGGGTCTTACCATGAATGCTCCCCTTTCGTTAGACCTCTAGCTCATCAGGATCTTGAGAATGCATGCATATCTTCATTATATTTCAGACTGACCCTTTATGACTTCCAGCACTGTATTTCAGTATGGTACTGACTGCACCTTGGAGACTGGGCCTTTCTCCCCATTTTATAGAGTAGGAAACTGAAGCCCAAGAGTCCAAGAGACTTGGGGTGAGCAGGCGGCACAGAAGTTAAGGAAGATGAATCTCAACTGGCCAACTGTGTTGTTCAAGTACTGGAACCTGCCCTTACTCAACCCCCCTTCACTTGAAAAACACTCCAGGTACGCATGTGGAGAAGGGATTGCAGCAAGACCATCCACACTGGGGAGGGGATGATTTCTCACATTTCCTCTTTCCATCTCTCTCTCTGTTTCTCTGGTGATCACATGTGCTCTGTGGCAAACAAAAAGAGTCTAAGGGACCTGTTCATGGTTACAGTGATGGAACTTGGCTCTTGAACTATCCTGCTTTGCCCAGACCTGTACTCAGTATACTTCCATTCCTCTTCCTAAAGAATCCTCCTTTCCCCCAACCATGTACACACCTCTGCACAGGTGATAGCTCCAGAAGCTTTTAGCTTTTAGCTCCTAAACATCCCCCCAGCCCCCCAGAGATTTTTGCTGTAGGACATGTGCTTTTGCCAGAGAGACAGAAAGTGATAAATCACCCCCTGGGGAGATGGCAATGCCACAGTTCCTTTTCCTCCAGTCTCCTCTCAGGATTTTGGGCATTTGCCCAGCATGAGTTTGGAGCCACTGGGTCTGAGATTCGAACTGCAGTTGAACATAAGGAAATCGAGGAATGTAACCATTATGCCATCTGCTGGTCCCAGCTCCTGAACATCTTAAGGGAACAGGTCACACTACTCCCAGAATCTTTTCTAGAGCCAAAGTGCAGGGCTCCAAGTCTGTCCCTCTCTGAGACCATCCCTTCTCTCCTAGCCTTTCCTGGGGGCCCTGAGATCTTTGTCCTTTCTTACCTAGATCAGACAGACCCTGCCTTAGATCTTCTCTGCCTCTTATCCCTTGAAGTAATCTAGAACACAAAACTGAGCAATTCACTTACTTGCTTAAAACTTTACTCTGTTTTACCTTTGCAGAAAAGCAAAATTTCCTCAACCATAGGACACATGTGCTCACCGGAGAGACACAGAGAGAAAGAGATGGAGAGAGCACTTAAAAATTTAATGTGTCTTTTTTTTTTTTTTTTTTTTTTTGGAGAGGTTTTTGCTACAGGGCACGTGCGCTTGCCAGAAAGACAGAGAGAGACAGAGAGATAGAAATTAAGAAATACCCCCCTGGGGGGTATGGCCACGCTGAAATCCCTTCTCCTCCATTCTCCTCTTGGGATCTTGGGCATGCACGCATACGTGCCCCACGTGAGTTTAAGCTGCCGGGTCCAGGACTCGAACCACAGTCGACTACGTGGGAGTCCAGCAACATAGCCATTATGCTAACTGCTGGTCCCAATTTGATGTATCTTATCATCCACTACCTATCACAATCTCTCTGCCCCCGGAACTTTGTATTCCAAGTATACTAGACCCTGACAAGTTCCTCAACTTCCCAGACTTACTCATGCATACATGTCTTTGTAATAGTAATTATAATTAATGCTTATTGAATACTTACTCTATGTCAAACACTGTTCAGTGTGCTTTATAGTTATTATCCTCGTGGATATCTGTTTCATGTAGGCAATCTGAACAAGAATCACAGAAATCCAAAGACATTTCTGAAGGACAGTCCTGACAGTGTCATCGAATACCCTGGATAAGTTCTATGCCACAATTATCACACTTGAAGCCCACATGTTGTACAAGTACACTTTCTGTTCCCATTTGCTGAAATTTGTTTCTCTAACTTTTTAAACTGTAATAGTTCTTTATATTCAGGTAACTTCCTATACATGATAGGAATGCTTTCTTCATCCTATGGAAGATAACAGAATACAACAGTCCTCTAGTCAGCTTTATGAAACACTTTTGTACTCTGCTGGCAACCTGCTTTGCTGTCCAGTTGCCCAGTTCATCTGCTATCTTCTGCCAGTGTCGAGATACTACTTCTTCAAGAGCAGTGTTCAAGATTTTTCTGTTCTTCAACAGTCCACAACTGGTTAAATGTTTCAGGATTGGTATCATCACACAGGCATCCTCATATCATCTGAGGATGACTATTTTGAGCCTTCCGGATCATCGCTCAAATGCAACAGAGAATAAGAAAGGGATTCTCCATCCTTCTTAGAATCTAAAGGACTTTTTGGTCTAGCAAGTAAACCTATTTTATTGAGAACTAGTTTAAGTCTCCTATTATGTCTTTTATGATTTTTAAATTCTCTCTCAAAGTTTCCAAGGCTTTTGGTGTATTGGTCCCATATGATTTTAGGCAACTGAACAACTCTGTGATTATGGAAGCCCTATAACCACAGTTTTCCCACAAATACAATGGGAGTTTTCAGTACTTCTTTCTCAAATCTGCCTAAACTCTCAAGGTCTTGGACTGCTTGAGCTTCTAGTACAGCAATTGTCTTTAATAGTCTCTGGTAATCTTTCTGTTTCAGTGCCACATGATCTGATTCAAAGTAATAAACAACAGTACCATCATCTTCCTCTTCTGTAATGTGCTGATTAGCACTTTCTTTGGCAGATGGCAAATGTCCAGTATCAAGTCTTGACATTTGTGAGAGACTCACTTATATTATCACTAACAGCTGCATTTGTTTCATTGGGACCAGTATTATTCTCCTCATACTGTCCATTTTCTCGGCCAAGAGAACTAACTCTTCTTAGCAGGATTCTCTCAGGTAGGGGCCGCTCTTTGTGGCCCCTCAAAGTTCTCAAAGTATAATGATGTTCTTGAGGTTCTTATAAAGACATTGCATGAGCTGAAACATAGTCTAGAACAGAAGATGATTATGGTTCTCTAGAGACTGACATACTCTGAAGATCTGGGTCCAGAACATTATCAGTGTTTTCATTACAAATGCTCTTTTGAAGCATTGCTATCTCCTACCACATCTAATTCCTTCTCCAAATCCCTTAAAATGACTGAACTTCAGAAAAAGGACTGTAGCTGACTCAGTAATCAGTGGATTAACATGCTCCACAGGCAGACAAGCAGGCAGTTACTATTTCATGGTCCTACGCTTGACCTGTACTTCACCCAGTT